CGTCGTGTGTGTGCTAGGTGCTGTTCAGGGTACTCTCCACTACCCTTCCCAAACCTGGTATCCGGTACTTGTCGTTTTATCTGGCAGACAGGTTCGTGACGATGGTCTTTATTTGAAGACCCCCACTGTCGTCCTTAAGCTTAGAAGTTCCTGAGTCAGAGATGAATGTCTTTAGAGCACAGTTAGATCTTAAACCTTTCAGATAAGCTAGGGAAGTAGGGGAAAGAGAAAGAAGAAAATGTAAGATCAGAAATGGGATTGACAGAAAGAGAGACACTGAGCCAGTACCCTGGGCTGCTGAGGGCGGCCACGTGCTGTCTCGCAGAAATGATTACTTGAAGAAATTCGCTTTTGGGACCAGCAGTTGGCGTAATGGCTATGTCGCTGGACTCCCACGTAGTCGACCGCGGTTCAAGTCCTGGACCAGTGGCTTAAACTCACGCCGGGCGCGTGTGCATGTATGCCCAAGATCCCGAGAGGAGAATGGAGGAGAAGGGATTGCGGCGTGGCCATCCCCCCGGGGGGTGATTTCTCGCTTTCTGTCTCTCTGTCTCTCTCTTTCTAGTGAGCGCACGCGCCCTATAGCAAAAACTTCTCCAAAAAAAAAAAAGAAAGAAAAAAAAGAAATTAGCTTTTTAATCCCAAAGCAGTCACATCTGCTACCTTGCCAGTGAATTAAATCCTTCTCCATCCTCTGAAAGAATAAATAGAAGGCCACTTTTCAAGTCTGGGAGATGGTGTTCATGCTCTTACCTCAGCGCTGGAAGTGTGTGGTCCTCCACGTTCCCCATGATTTCCCCTGATTGGTGTGGGCATCAGACCCATGTGCCAGTTACCATAGTAATGCCCTTAAGGTTTGGAGGAGGAGTGTGATGGTTCAAGCTTTAACAATTTTGTAGTAGCTTAAAATGTTACAACAGAACTACGAAACTGATAGTTCTGCATTTTGTGTGTGTGTGTTTAGATGTTTTGCCATAGGGTGTGTCCGCCTACCAGAGACAGAGAGAGGGAGAAATTCCTCCCTCCAGGGATGGCCATGCTGCTTGGGGTTGGGGCAGGCACACTCAGATACCTGGTGTGATTTTCAGGCCACCAGGTCTGGGTCTTGAACTATGGAGTTGGCTGTGTGGGA